CCCCCCCCCCCCCCTCCCCCTCTCCAATAAGCCCTACCTTATCAGGGGAAGAAGGTTAATGAGCCCCAACTCCCCCTCCCCTCCCCTTATTATTATTCACTAATAAATGATATAATGTATTTATTTCTCAAGCAGGACGTTCGAAGTTGTTTTTGATCCTCGACTGCATGACCTACAACCATTGTACTTGACCTTTACTACTTTGAAGTTCTAGTTCTTCACGAAGAACTGATGCCATCGTCTTTGCTAAATTAAATAAGCCTCCCGTCTCTATTAAGCCCCCTATCAAATGTGTTTGAAATAAATAACCCTCCCGGATGGCCTAACAGAGGGTTTACGGTAACTATAGAGATTATTTAAGGAATTAAGCGCCCAGGCACCCTACCTTTACAAAGTAGAGGAGACTAACTTGGTTGTTGCTGTCTTGAATCCATTGCAGGCAAACGAAAGAACGATGGATTTCCGATGTACTTTTTGAATCGTCTTCATCCGTCATTCCCACTGGGTCGCTTTGCTGAGATAGGATCAAGTGCTATCATGTTTTATTGCAGTTTTACTGTTTGCTATCCATAGCAACAGACGACAGGGAACAGTTTCAATACAAATTTAGTGTCTAAAAATAACAAAACTGGACCATTATTTCTGGAACTTTTTGTAGATGCAAACACGCCTTTAAGCTTTCAAAAAGCAGAATAGCAGATGCGTGACATAAGCTCCTTTAACAATGCGTTCTAAAACCCATCTTTCTTGAACGGACCATGTGATGAGTTGTTTTCGCCTGATCCTCCCCAGCTAGAATAGGTGTTAAATAACTGACTTCCAGTTTTTTTTTTTGTTATTGCTTTTAACGTGTACAGCGAAAAATAAGTTTAGAAATGAGATGCTCATCTTAGTATTTTGTGTCGGCCAAGTTGGGAACGACGTGTAGATTATCGTACTACTAAAAAGTCAGAGCGAAAATAATCAAGATCTCTCAAGATACCCCAATCTGAGATAAATATAGTGTAAAGTATACTCAATATCCGATTTGGACATGCTCATAAAGCATTCTATTCGTTTCCAGATACTATTTATACGGAAGTAATACTAAACTACGTTTGCATTTATAGATGAATTATTTACAGAAAATTTGATTGGTAGGGTCATGATACGAGACAATTCATTTGAAAACGATTTATGAAGTTGCAGAGCTGTA